ATCGCTTATGGGGGGCGTGTCACCGATCAGTGGGACCAGCGGTGCTTGAAGAGTATTTTAAAAAAGTTTTATAATCCTGACGTGCTGCTGGATGATTATGCGTACACCACGGATCATGTAAGGAACAGTTTATCCCATTCCATCCATCCATTCATCCATCCACTCCCGCCAAATCCCATCCATCAGCCATCCGTTTGTCTGCCCGTCCGTCCGTCTGCCCGTCCGTCCGTCTGCCCGTCTGTCTGTTCATTCATCTGTCCTTCCCATTCATCCTTGTGCTTCCATCAATCCCACCCACCCAACCCATCCACCCTATCCGTCCACCATTGACCAACCTAGTCATYTATTCATCCACTTACGCTTCTTCCACCTTCCTTCCATCCACCCTCCATCACACCGACCGAATGTCCGTTCGTGCTTTGCGTTTCATTAATACACATAAAACAATATCGTTTAACATGCTTTGTGGATTGGCCTCAGTCAGTCAAACCCCCCACGAAGACCTAAATTGCTTATAACTGGATCAATACACCGTTCTCATAAGTGCACGTAAACGAGGTCACCTGGTCATTAGTTTAAAATAAAAGATATAGAAGCACATGAAGTGCGTTCATAGAAGAAAAGTGAAATAAAAAGGCTTTTTGTTTTGATCTGAGTTCGCGCTATCCACCTTTATTTTGAAAAAGCAGTCTTGCTTAGCCTTGCAAGATGACTTGGTGGCCTCATTTTCGTGCACTCGTCGGCCATTATGAGAACGGTGTATATAACCGATGAACACGATTTTCATGTAGGTGTACCGTCCACCGCCCAAYAACATCTCACTGTCAGTCTGTTGTTCATACATCGATGAACTACCCACCTCGGACTCATCTGAGTTATTTGGCATGGATCAGAATGCAGACACCGCTTACCTCAMGGCACAGGCAGGTAGTCTTATCACTGATCTCTTGGCAGGACAACCAAAAATCACTGGACATGCTGGGTAAGATGTTGGGGAAAAGGCTTTGGAGTTCAAGGAGTTGAGATATTCAGTCTTTATTGTAGTCAGAGAAGCCATTATAAATATACCACGATTAATAGACCTTATTCTTGGTGTGACAATGTTTTCCCAATTCAGCGTTACAAACTTCTGGGGGAATGAAGAGCTATTGTTTTGAAACTCGTCGGAATATCATCGTTATTCCTGTCGTATTCTTTGGGATACTCATGAATTTTTCGAAGAGTAAAAACAAAAGAAAATGAATCCCCTGGAGATTCGTCACGCTGAATTGGGAAAATATTAGATACATTCCTATAATTCCCTTAAGGCTTGGAATGACAAATCACTTTGGCCCTGACCAAAGTTCTTGAAATGGGTGTATACTAGATATACAATGGTTTTACTGTGCACACACGATAACCGGGACTACTTGAAGAAAGTTAACCAATCACG